CAGTGCAAACTGGGACTTCTTCTCCTTCCCCTCTTGCATCCTTTTCCAAAAAAACTGGTTTGGTGTGTAAACGTGTCCACCGGAAACGAATGGGCAGCAGGTTTGTTGGGGAAGCGTCGCAAGTCGGGCGTGTCGTAACTCGAGCCCTCGTTTCCACCCCCTTCCGCATTTACAAAAATGGTTGTCAGTGTGTGTGTGTGTGTGGGGGGGGGGGTGTCAGAACTCGGGCGGTCACATGGCGGGGCCCGCATGTAGTTGGTTGTGTCACTTACAAAACTTTTAACTAATGCAAGAAATAAAAAAAGAAACAAAACCAAACCAAACCAAAAACCAAACCACAGCTTCAGATCTGCCCCTCACCAGATATTCTGGATTTGGCTGGAAAAAAAGCCCCGGAAGCCTCTTGAACAATAAATAAATAGAAATAGGGTTTTCAGCTGCGAAAGGTAAAACAGAACAGTCTTGTGTCCAGTTCTGGGCACCGCATTTCAAGAAAGATGGGGAGAAATTGGAGAGGGTCCAGAGAAGAGCAACAGGAATGATGAAAGGTCTAGAGAACATGAGCTAGGAGGGGAGGCTGAAGGAATTGGGTTTGTTTAGTGTAGAAAAGAGAAGATTGAGGGGGGACATGAGAGCCGTTTTCAGGTATCTAAAGGGTGTCACAAGGAGGAGGGAGAAAACTTGTTCATCTCGGCCTCTGAGAATAGAACTAGAAGCAATGGGCTTAAACTGCAGCCAGGGAGGTTGAGGTTGGACAGTAGGAAAAAGTTCCTACCTGTCAGGGTGGTTAAACACTGGAATAAATTGCCCAGGGAGGTTGTGGAATCCCCATCTCTGGAGATATTGAAGAGTAGGTTAGATAAATGTCTATCAGGGATGGTCTAGACAGTATTTGGTCCTGCCATTGGGGCGGGGGGCTGGACTCGATAACCTTTCGAGGTCCCTTCCAGTCCTAGTATTCTGTGATTCTATATAGACCTAAGGTTTTTGACAAGCAAGGTGGCGTCCACCACAATTTTTCCTCAGAAAATCAAAATGAGGAGCCGGAGGCAGGAAACCCCTCAGTTCAGCAGCCAGGCCTGACGCAAGGGTGAGGGGCAGATTGGGACTTCTCTTCCATTTCATGGGGTCTGTACGGAACAGGCAAAGCCAGAGGGTTCCCGATTGGCTCAGAGGCAGCTGCTCCTGGACCAGACCAGCTGCCGGAGATGGGCATGCGGGAACCACACGCCATTGCGGAGGGCGGGAATCAGGATAATGGGAGTTTTTAATAGGCCTGGCCCTTTTAGGCCACTGATAGAAGGTCTCCTTCGTGGAGGCGTCTCTGATGAAAGCAGCAACTTACGCATCCACCACATTCTGTCCGTTATGACAGTGTTTGTCAACCAGTGGTACGAGTCCTCGAGAGAAGTCGGGGAGGGGAGATACGTCGACACAATTGAAATTTGGAGAAAACTGAATTTTTGTTTTAAGTTTGACAGCGCTTTATTATTTTGGTACTTTTGACACCCAAAAATGTCATCGCCTGCCCGGCTACGATGACGTTGTTTAAACAAATGTGTTGCAACGGTAGAAGAAAACTGTGTGGCTGCGTCTAGACGGGCACCTGCTTTTGCGGAAAAACTTGCCAGCTGTCTACACTGGCCGCTTGAATTTCTGCAAGAACTCTGAGTGAAATCGGTGCTTCTTGCGGAAATGCTATGCTGCTCCCGTTTGGGCAAAAGCCCTCTTGCGCAGATGCTTTTGCGCAAGAGGGCCAGTGTAGACAACGTGGTATTGTTTTGCGCAAAAAAGCCTCGATGGCGAAAATGGCGATTGGGGCTTTCTTGCGCAAAACCGCGTCTAGATTGGCACGGATGCTTTTTTGCAAAAAGTGCTTTTGCGGAAAATCATCCGTGCCAATCTAGATGCTCTTTTCCGCAAATGCTTTTCACGGAAAAGTTTTCCGTGAAAAGCATTTGCGGAAAATCATGCCAGTCTAGATGTAGCCTGTGTGTCTGAAAATGTTATAATGTTTTTTTTTTTAAAAAAGAGGGACTTTTGAAAAAAAGCTTGAGAAACACTGGACTACGCTATTACATCCCTAGCTGGACTACAGTAACGCTAGAAGAAAACTGTGTGTGTCTGAAAATGGTAGGCACTGGGGGTACTTATAATTTTTGGTTTTTACTTTATAAAAAAATGGTTGAAAAACACTGCGTTATGACACGTGGAATCATGTCTGAGCTCAGACCGATTTTTTTCCCCCCTGAACTTTCGAAACTTTTCCCCTCATCCAAGCATTTCTCTTCTGCGTGGATTGTCCGACATGAAACAAGGTTTGATCGTCTGACAGGACGTATCCCACGGCGAAGACCCTTCGGGGAGTTTTCCCTTCGTGAAGTTGTGAACTCTCCTTGAAGTTTTTCCCACGCGCGAACAATTCTTACGACTTCTGCGGTGTGTGCAGTCTCCGATGGGTGACAAGATGTGAGTTCTGATAAAAGCTTTTCCCGCACGCCAAGCATTTATAAGGTCTCTCTCCCGTGTGGATCCTCAAATGGTTAGTAAGGACCGAGTAATGTCTAAAGCTTTTCTTGCAGTCCGAACATGCATAGGGTCTCTCTCCCGTATGAATTCTTCCGTGGCTAATAAGGCTGGACCGCTGACTGAACCCTCTCCCACAGTCTGTACATTTATAGGGTTTCTCTCCAGTGTGCAGTCTCCGATGAGTAATAAGGTTTGCGTTCTGTGCAAAACTTTTCCCACAGTCCAAGCATGTAAAGGGTTTCTCCCCTGTGTGGGTTCGTCTATGGTTAATAAGCACTGAACCATCACTGAAGCTCTTCCCACAGTCTGAACAGTGGAAGGGTTTCTCTCCCGTGTGGGTCCTCCGGTGTCGAAGGAGGGCGGACGGGACGCTGAAAATTTTCCCGCACTCGAAGCATGGATAGGGTCTCTCTCCCGTGTGCAGTCTGCGGTGCCTCGTAAGAATGGAGCTCCGCGTGAAGCTTTTCTCACAGTCCGTGCATTGATAGGGTTTCTCTCCCGTGTGGGTTCTCGCGTGGTGAACAAGGGACGATGTGGCACGGAAGCTTTTCCCACACTCACAGCACTGATACGGTCTCTCTCCTGTGAGCCCTCTTCGGTGGCCAGAAAGATCTGAGCTCTGATGAAAGTTTCTCGCGCAATCCGAGCACTTACAGGGACTTTCTCCCGGGCGGATTCTCCCGTGGCTAACGAGGCCTGAGAGCTGAACGAAGCTTTTCCCATAATCCATGGGACTTTTCTGCTCAACCGTGCGTTCGCTAGGACCATTTCCTCCTCTGCCACATTCAACAGATTCAGCTGCTTTCCGCCGTAGGCTGTTTTCCAGCGTCCTTTCTGGCCCATTCCTCCAGGCGTCTCTCTGTTCCAAGCACTGGGGGAAAAGTCCGTCTGCTCGTCTCATAAAAGTCTCCTGCCATTCCACTTCCTCGGGACCTTCTGGGGATGGATTCCCCTTCCCTGTAGGGGAAGAGAGAGAGAGAATCAAGGCAGGAGTCGTCACCTGGGTTGGCACAAAAGAGAACATCAAAAAAGGTAAACACAACACAGTAACTACTGGAAGAATCTGAGAAATTGGATATAGGGATGTATCTACACTGGCATGATCTCGCGCAAAAGCAGCCGCTCTTGTGCAAAAACTTGCTGCCCGTCTACACTGGCCATGTGTTCTTGCGCAAGTAAACTGACGTTCTAATGTATAAAATCAGGGCTTCTTGCGCAAAAACTCTGACGTTCCCTCTCAGGAAGAAGCCCTTTTGCGCAAGAGTTCTTCCAGAAGAGGCCAGTGTAGGCAGGCAACGTGAATTTCTTGCGCAAGAAAGTCCGATGGTTAAAATGGCCACCAGAGCTTTCTTGCGCAAGAGAGCGTCTACGCTGGCACGGATGCTCTTGTGCAAAAGCACATCTCTTGTGCAAAGGCACATGCCAGTGTAGACGCTCTCTTCTGGAAGAGTTGGTGCAGAAGAACTCTTCCGCAAAAGCGTTTTTGCGTGAGAACGCGCCTGTGTAGACGTAGCCTTGGTGTTGGAAAATGTTCAGAGAAGGGCAACAAAAAATGATGAGGGGCTTGGAAGGGGTGTCACACGAGGAGAGATTAAAAAGACGGGGACTTGTCAGCTTAAAAAAGGGGAGACTAAAGGGGGATAGGATCGAGGTCTACAAAATCATGACGGGTGTGGAAAAAGTGAATAACGGAAAGTTATTTTCTTGATCCCATAACATAAAAACTAAGGGTCGCCAGATGAAATGAATAGGTAGCAGGTTGAAAACCAACCAAAGGAAGCTCACAGGCAGCCTGTGGAACATAATCCACCGGCAATCTGTGGAACTCCTTGCCAGAGGATGTTGTGAAGACAGGGTTCAAAAAAAAAAGCTAGATAGATTCATGGAGGTGAGGTCCATGTAGCCAGGATGGGTACAGATGGGTGTCCCTGGCCTCTGTTTGTCAGCTGCTGGGAATGGGCGACAGGAGAGGGATCACGTTAGGATTCCCTGTTCGGTTCCCTCCCTCTGGGGGCATCTGGCATTGGCCACTGTCGGCAGACGGGATGGACCTTTGGTCTGACCCAGCCTGGCCGTTCTTATGAAAGGTGTTTTTTTTTTTAAAAAAGAGGGACTTTTGAAAAAAAGCTTGAGAAACACTGGACTACGCTATTACATCCCTAGCTGGACTACAGTAACGCTAGAAGAAAACTGTGTGTGTCTGAAAATGGTAGGCACTGGGGGTACTTATAATTTTTGGTTTTTACTTTATAAAAAAATGGTTGAAAAACACTGCGTTATGACACGTGGAATCATGTCTGAGCTCAGACCGATTTTTTTCCCCCCTGAACTTTCGAAACTTTTCCCCTCATCCAAGCATTTCTCTTCTGCGTGGATTGTCCGACATGAAACAAGGTTTGATCGTCTGACAGGACGTATCCCACGGCGAAGACCCTTCGGGGAGTTTTCCCTTCGTGAAGTTGTGAACTCTCCTTGAAGTTTTTCCCACGCGCGAACAATTCTTACGACTTCTGCGGTGTGTGCAGTCTCCGATGGGTGACAAGATGTGAGTTCTGATAAAAGCTTTTCCCGCACGCCAAGCATTTATAAGGTCTCTCTCCCGTGTGGATCCTCAAATGGTTAGTAAGGACCGAGTAATGTCTAAAGCTTTTCTTGCAGTCCGAACATGCATAGGGTCTCTCTCCCGTATGAATTCTTCCGTGGCTAATAAGGCTGGACCGCTGACTGAACCCTCTCCCACAGTCTGTACATTTATAGGGTTTCTCTCCAGTGTGCAGTCTCCGATGAGTAATAAGGTTTGCGTTCTGTGCAAAACTTTTCCCACAGTCCAAGCATGTAAAGGGTTTCTCCCCTGTGTGGGTTCGTCTATGGTTAATAAGCACTGAACCATCACTGAAGCTCTTCCCACAGTCTGAACAGTGGAAGGGTTTCTCTCCCGTGTGGGTCCTCCGGTGTCGAAGGAGGGCGGACGGGACGCTGAAAATTTTCCCGCACTCGAAGCATGGATAGGGTCTCTCTCCCGTGTGCAGTCTGCGGTGCCTCGTAAGAATGGAGCTCCGCGTGAAGCTTTTCTCACAGTCCGTGCATTGATAGGGTTTCTCTCCCGTGTGGGTTCTCGCGTGGTGAACAAGGGACGATGTGGCACGGAAGCTTTTCCCACACTCACAGCACTGATACGGTCTCTCTCCTGTGAGCCCTCTTCGGTGGCCAGAAAGATCTGAGCTCTGATGAAAGTTTCTCGCGCAATCCGAGCACTTACAGGGACTTTCTCCCGGGCGGATTCTCCCGTGGCTAACGAGGCCTGAGAGCTGAACGAAGCTTTTCCCATAATCCATGGGACTTTTCTGCTCAACCGTGCGTTCGCTAGGACCATTTCCTCCTCTGCCACATTCAACAGATTCAGCTGCTTTCCGCCGTAGGCTGTTTTCCAGCGTCCTTTCTGGCCCATTCCTCCAGGCGTCTCTCTGTTCCAAGCACTGGGGGAAAAGTCCGTCTGCTCGTCTCATAAAAGTCTCCTGCCATTCCACTTCCTCGGGACCTTCTGGGGATGGATTCCCCTTCCCTGTAGGGGAAGAGAGAGAGAGAATCAAGGCAGGAGTCGTCACCTGGGTTGGCACAAAAGAGAACATCAAAAAAGGTAAACACAACACAGTAACTACTGGAAGAATCTGAGAAATTGGATATAGGGATGTATCTACACTGGCATGATCTCGCGCAAAAGCAGCCGCTCTTGTGCAAAAACTTGCTGCCCGTCTACACTGGCCATGTGTTCTTGCGCAAGTAAACTGACGTTCTAATGTATAAAATCAGGGCTTCTTGCGCAAAAACTCTGACGTTCCCTCTCAGGAAGAAGCCCTTTTGCGCAAGAGTTCTTCCAGAAGAGGCCAGTGTAGGCAGGCAACGTGAATTTCTTGCGCAAGAAAGTCCGATGGTTAAAATGGCCACCAGAGCTTTCTTGCGCAAGAGAGCGTCTACGCTGGCACGGATGCTCTTGTGCAAAAGCACATCTCTTGTGCAAAGGCACATGCCAGTGTAGACGCTCTCTTCTGGAAGAGTTGGTGCAGAAGAACTCTTCCGCAAAAGCGTTTTTGCGTGAGAACGCGCCTGTGTAGACGTAGCCTTGGTGTTGGAAAATGTTCAGAGAAGGGCAACAAAAAATGATGAGGGGCTTGGAAGGGGTGTCACACGAGGAGAGATTAAAAAGACGGGGACTTGTCAGCTTAAAAAAGGGGAGACTAAAGGGGGATAGGATCGAGGTCTACAAAATCATGACGGGTGTGGAAAAAGTGAATAACGGAAAGTTATTTTCTTGATCCCATAACATAAAAACTAAGGGTCGCCAGATGAAATGAATAGGTAGCAGGTTGAAAACCAACCAAAGGAAGCTCACAGGCAGCCTGTGGAACATAATCCACCGGCAATCTGTGGAACTCCTTGCCAGAGGATGTTGTGAAGACAGGGTTCAAAAAAAAAAGCTAGATAGATTCATGGAGGTGAGGTCCATGTAGCCAGGATGGGTACAGATGGGTGTCCCTGGCCTCTGTTTGTCAGCTGCTGGGAATGGGCGACAGGAGAGGGATCACGTTAGGATTCCCTGTTCGGTTCCCTCCCTCTGGGGGCATCTGGCATTGGCCACTGTCGGCAGACGGGATGGACCTTTGGTCTGACCCAGCCTGGCCGTTCTTATGAAAGCTATCAGGGTGGGCGGAAGCCAAGAGCGATATCTAACCTCTGTCTGACCTCAGTGAAGTCACCCCACACGTTGGGGCTTTCCAGCGTCTTCCTTCATTGGCCAGACACTTGGTCAGAGTCACAAACTCCTCACCTGTGCCGCCTGGGATCTTCCTTTCCTCGGAGACCTGCAGTTCAGGGACCCACGGATCTTCCCCTGCTTCCAGCCGGGCGATCAGGTCAGGTTTGGGAATGGGGAGTCCTGCCCAGGGGGGTGAAAACAGACATTATCAGAGTGCCCTGGAGACGGGGGAGGTGTTTGTCGCAATGGACGCAGACCATCCAAGAAGTTTTGGGGCCATACGGGAGATTTATTTTTCAGAAGGCAGAGGAAGGTACTAAGAGAGAGACACTTCGAGATTTGATTTATCGGGAGGAACTGAAAAAAACTTCAAAACCAACAAATCGTCCTGCGGCATCTTAGGCTACATCCCGAAATAGCTATTCCGCGTCTTTTGAGCATTCCCATTATTCCAAAACATCCCAGCCTTGCTATTCCGACATCCCCGTACACCTAATTACACAAGAGGACGTTTCAGCATAGCGATCTATTTTGAAATAAGCGCTGGGTAGGCAACATCCAATATCGAGACACGCTATTCGGAAACAGAATCAAATTGCATGTCATATTTCGACCTGCGGTGCAGTGTAGACGCACCCTGAGAGGACTTAAAGACTCGCGCGGCTACCCCGCTGAAACAGGGAGGAACCGATGGAGAATTTGAAAGTGCAAGGCAGCTTGGGTGAAAGAGATGATAAAATGACAGAGATGATCACTCTAAGGAAAGGTAGAAGGAAGAGAAGCAAAATCAAGTCGAGAGGGTAGCTAAGATACCAGGGAAAGCGAAACTAAGGGTGTGTCTAGACTACAGGGTTTTGTCGATAAAAGTGGACTTTTGTCGACAAAACTATATCTGTGTCTACACTGCCGCTGAGTTCTCTCGACATAACGTCGACAGAACTCAGCAGTTTTGTCGATGTCTGTAAACCTCATTCTACGAGGAATAATGACTTTTGTCGACAGAGTTCTGTCGACAGAAGGCGTTATTGCATCTACACTGTCCTTTGTGTCTACACTGTTATGTCGACAAAGTGGCTTGCTTTGTCGACAGAACTGGATGTAGTCTAGATGCTCTTTGTCGACAGAAGCTTTGTTGACAGTATCTGTCGACAAGACTTATGTCGACAAAAGCCTGTCGTCTAGACATACCTTAAGAGGAAAAACAACTGCAGGCAATTGGCAAGTTTTCAAAGAGGCAGTGTTAAGGGCAGAAGACCAAACGACAGCCAGTCCCCGAGTTACGAACAAGTTACGTACCAAACACTAGGTCGTAAATTGATCTGTTCGCAAGTCGGATAACATTCACTTACGTATGGCGGCGCTGTTCATAAGCACGGATTGCGTTTGTAACTTGGGGACCGGCTGTAGAGGAGGTTGGTCGTAAATACGAATGGTCATAAGTCAATGCGTTCGTAACTCGGGGACCAGCTGTATTCTACTCTGCAGGAAATTTAGGAACTCTGGCAGGAGACCATTCTAATCTAACGAGGAGCTCTCGGAATGATCTAAACATGAAAAAAAAAGAGTCTTACAAAAAGTGGAAATCACAAAGGATGACTATAAAATAACACAAGGCTGTCGGGGCAAAATTAGAAAGGTCAAGGCACAAAACGAGATCAAACTTGCTAGAGACACACAAGAAAACCCTCCGCAAATATGTTAGAAGCAAGGGGAAGACCAAGGATGGGGTGAATCATAGAGCTGGAAGAGACCTCAGGAGGTCATCAAGTCCAGCCTCCTGCCCAAGGCAGGACCAATCCCAACTAAATCAACCCAGCTAGGACTTTGTCAAGCAGAGACTTAAAAAACTCTAGGGATGGAGAGCCCATCCCCTCCCTAGGGAACCCATCCCACTTCTTCCCCACCCTCCTAGGGAAATCGTTTTTCCTAATATCCAACCTAGACCTCTCCCACTGTAACTTGAGACCATTGCTCCTCGTTCTGCCGTCCATCACTATCGTGAACAGCCTTTCTCCATCCTCCAATGCTCAGTGAAAAGAGGAAAAACTACAACAGCAAACGTGGAAATTGGCAGAGGTGCTTAACGACTTCTTTGTTCCGATTTTCACCAAGAAGGTTGGTGGCGATTGGACGCCACCAGTGAGGGAAAGAACAAATTAAAAATCACAGAGAAAAATGAGATGCCGGCACGTCACCAGGGCCTGATGAAATGCATCCTAGAATACGCAAGTTGCTGATAGAGGAGGTAGCTGAGCCTTTAGCCATCATCTTTGAAAAATCATGGAAGTCGGGAGAAATTCCAGAAGACTGGAAAAGGGCAAATCTAGTGCCCAGCTATAAAAAGGGAAACAAGAACAAGCCAGGAAACCACAGAGCAATCAATTTAACTTCTGGGCCAGGGAAGATAATGGAACAAGTCACTGAGGAATCCATCTGCAAACATCTAGGCTACGTCTACACTGGCACCCTTTTCCGGAAATGCTTATAATGGACATAATTCAAAATGACCCTAGCAAGTTAGAGAAATGGTCAGAGGTAAACAGGATGAGGTTTAATAAAGAGAAATGCAAAGTGCTCCACTTAGGAAGGAACAATCAGTTCCATACATACAAGATGGGAAGCGACTGTCTAGGAAGGAGCATGGCGGAAAGGGATCTAGGGGTCATAGTGGACCACAAGTTGAATATGAGTCAACAGTGTGATACTGTTGCAAAAAAAGCAAATATGATGCTAGGTTGTATCAACAGGTGTGTTGTAAGCAAAACTCGTGAAGTCATTCTGCCGCTCTACTCTGCACTAGTTAGGCCTCAGCTGGAGTACTGTGTCCAGTTCTGGGCACCACATTTCAAGAAAGATGTGGAGAAATTGGAAAGGGTACAGAGAAGAGCAACAAGAATGATTAAAGGTCTAGAGAACATGACCTATGAAGCCAGGCTTCATGAACTGGGCTTGTTTAGTTTGGAAAAAAGAAGATTAAGGGGGGACATGATAGCGGTTTTCAAATATCTAAAAGGGTGTCACAAGGAGGAAGGAGAAAATTTGTTCCTCTTGGTTTCTGAGGACAGGACAAGGAGTAATGGGCTTAAAGTGCAGCAGGGGAGGTTTAGATTGGACATTAGGAAAAAATTCCTAACTGTCAGGGTGGTCAAATATTGGAATAAATTGCCAAGGGAGGTGGTGGAATCTCCCTCTCTGGAGATATTTAAGAACAGGTTAGATAGACATCTGTCAGGGATGGTGTAGACAGAGCTTGGTCCTGCCTTGAGGGCAGAGGGCTGGACTCGATGACCTCTCGAGGTCCCTTCCAGTCCTATTATTCTATGATTCTATGATTAATAAAGATTCCATCTGGAAGATGCTTTGGCCAAATGTGAGTTGATACGTTCAGCACAGGGCTAGTCAGGAGACATTCTCTGGCCTCCGTTATACACCAGACTGTGCACGTGGTTACCTATGAAACCCAGCCACGGTCGTGCGTCAGAGT